GTGCTTCCGCCTGTGTTGTGGTTTGTTAGCTAAGTGAACAATCAATCTAGCGTACAATGAATCCCGTACGATTTGAACTGCCCTGTACATAGTTATTGCATGTAGCTTGCTGTTATGTTCCGGAGTCTTCTGGATTTATCACCTCGTGTTCTTGTAAATAAAGTCAGTTGCGATCTGAGTGATCTCGAGAGTAGACTGGAGTTTTAGGTGCGTTCTCGGAACGCAACAGTACTCTTATCGTCGCGTACCACCGGAAAGTGCGGCAGATACCATTGGTCCTCTCCGTCAGCTTGCTCAGTAGGTACCATGCTGACGTAGCCTTTCTCAATATGACTGTTCATGACCTCGTGATACTGCTTCTTCACTGCTGGTCGCTTGTCCAGTGCTTTCTCCAAGGACCTCAACCGCTGCTCAGCCATGATGCGGTTGGAGGTCAGCTGAGGCTGTGACTGGCTGCTCGCCCATGGAATGGACATCGTGTAGCGCCCGTCTTCATACCGCACAGTGTCGTTGGTGTGTAACTCGGCCTGGCGATCAGCTGGCGATGGCGTCTCGACATTGGATGCTGCCGCTTCGGTGCCCACCTTTTCTGTCTCCCAGAACTTGTGAACGATCTCATCGAGCTTACTTTCTTCTTGTACGCCAGCCTCAGTGCACAGGGCGATGCAGGTATGTTGCAGTGCAGTACTGTTGTTCCCCAAGGGGCCGAAACACACCCAACCGAGTGGTGTGCGCCGGGCAATCAGTCCGCTCTCTGAGTGGCCGCTGCGCTCCTCCAGTGACGTGTGCAGCTCTGCTGCATTCAGACCGATCAGAATGCCCACTGTTGGAGACGGCAACGGCTGGAATTCGATGTTTCCTGCCCACGTGCCGCTGTTCTGGGCCCAGTCCACCGTACTCATTGGCGTTACAGCTGGCAGCACCCACGCACTAAACTGGGCCAGTCTGCCGTCTTGAGTCTGGACACCGACATTGATGTGCGGTCGGGTACCACTAACTGTCTTCCCTCCGAGTACTGTGGTCTGCAATGACTCTTGAGGACCCGTAAGTCCAAGCTCCTGGGCCACAGACTCGGTGACGTAACTCGTTGATGACGCTGAGTCGAGCAGGGCGGTCACCTGCATCTGGCGGTCCTTGTTGACTAGTGTGGCAGACACGGTCATGAACGCCATTCCACCGGACGCGCGTAGAGTCGCAGCTGGCTCTTGCAGGATGTGCAGTGCCGCACCTGCTGACGGCACGCTGGCTGTTGGCGATGCTGTGTGCTGCCTGGCTGCCTGTGTCGAACTGCTGACCGCTGTGTGTCTGGCCTTGGCGTCAGTAGTAGAGATATTAATGTGTGGCTTGTCCGATTTCCAAACATGTAACAAACTGTTATGTTTTCGTCCACACGCATCACATGGCTTAGCAGAGCAGTCATTTGAACGATGCCCTGTCTGTAGGCAATTCGTACAAACGCTGTACAGGGGCTTGACCGCTCCCCACCTCTCGCGCACCGACATCTTGCGCAGCTCAGCACATACAGCAAGGGCATGATGCCCCTGGCACACCGGGCACACCGTTGTTCGTGGCTCTGGTGCCGAGGCCGACGTTGTTCTGCTGCTAGCTGCTGGAACGGTGGCCATGGTGTGGTGGCCTTGCGTACGCCCTGTAGCCGCTTTCTCCGGCTTTTTGACCGTCAGGACGTCCCCAATGCGAGCATCGACCTGGCGCATGCGATGCACTCTATCCAGCAGCCATCTGGACAGATCATCCACGTTACCAGTGGCGTCGTCATAACGCTCAATGTAGCGCAGCAGAAGGTTGCGGGGCAGTTTCTGTGTTACCGTTACGTACATCTCTCTTCCCGGCATGATGTGGCCCGCCTGCATGTTTAGCAGCACGTTGCGGAGCTTGATGGCGAGCGTCTGCAGAGCGGTGGTGTCTTTGTCGTGCTGAATGCGTGGCAGTGCATACAGCTCTTTCTGCTGGCGCTCGAGCTCGCGCTGGCTGCCACCATACCACGCATCCAGCTCAGCCATTGCGGACTGGTACGCACCCTCGCCGTCCAGCAAGTCCGCTATCAGATCTTCTGCTGCTCCACCGGCTACTGCTTCGCGAAGACGAGCCATCTTGTAGTGGTCGGACACATATGGGTCCTCGTCCACCAGACGCAAAAAACGCTGCTGCCACTTCATGTAGCTGCTCTCTTCCCCATTAAACTTTGGCAGCTCCAACGGTTTTATTTGTGCCTGGCGAATGCCCTGGCGCCAACCGTCTGGTATGCCGTCTGCCCATTTCTGCACGCGGGCCATGTCGGGTGGGAGCGTCTGATGTTCGACGATTCGACGAGGCTGTGGTCTGTACGTCTGCTGCGGTTGTGACTGTTGTGGTGGCGGCTGTGGCATGCTCAGTGCACCCGCAACGGTTACAGGTAGCTGATTGAGCACTGGTTGCTGCCGCACTAGGTACGAGGCAGCTGCTACTGGTTGGTGCACTGAAGCGTGGTGATGGTGCACGGCTCGCTTTCCGTGCTGCACTGCCATTGTGTGCTGCACTGCAGCTCCTGGATGCCGCACAGCTGAGTGCCAGATTGGCCTTGGCTGCTGAGCCTGACTGAATGACACTGCGGAATCGTCGGAGGCCTCAGACGTGCCAGCTGACTGCCTTGCGGCTAACGTTCTCCAGTCCATGTTCCGCGCGCCATCCACTGCTGCTGTATGGTCAGTCAGGCTATCATATCCCCGGGTTTCGGCACCAGCTTGCACTGGTGGCTTGACAACACGACCCTGGTCCACACAACTCAATGATACGCACTTTGCGGCCGGGACGACACGAGTGTTGCCACATCTTTGCAAGGCATCGTCAAACTTGGCAAGTGCCTCCGCAGTCAAGCCATGCCCTCGCCGCCTCGGGGAACTCCTCTGGGACAGCTGCTCCGTTTTTATTGCTTCCTCTAACGCCAACTTTTTGGCCCAAATGTCCTTGCGGAGTTCAATCTCCCTTTTCTTTACATCTAACTCCATGGTGGCGAGCTCCTCCGCCGCTTCCAGCTCTGTAGCTTTCAGTTCGACCTTGAGCTGGGAACCGCTACTGGCCCTGGACGGGACAGCGGACACCGAGCTCCTTTTATCCGCAGCCACGGCGAGTTCGGGCTCCTCGTGTCCATATCTCAATGGTGGCACACCCTTGGTTGTGCGTTGGCTCGTACGCGGAGCTGACGCCGAGGACATGATGCTAACTTTACGTTCCACAGCACTATAACTTTACTACAATGTCTACATACTACTACACTCTACAGAACAAGCTCAGTCCGAGATCCGGCTCGAAGGACCAGTTGTTTAGGACTCTTTCCCTTTCGGTGAAGACTGTATTAAATTCTAATTGTTCGAACTCTGGTGTAGTGAACTGACACTCGGAAAACAACATGCAGACATGGAACACAACTAAAAATGCAGAGAATGAAACCCGGAAAACGCAAAGGCAAACAACAACCACAACTGTCACTAATCTGGGCAAGAAGCTAACCACCATTCTCTCAAACTTGACCAACTCTCTCTCTCAAATCGCTGTCCTCAGCGAAACGTGCTCGCGTGCGTGCATTGGCTTACGTGTAGTCTACGTGTACATCAGTGTGCGTGCATGCATATCGAAGTGTACGAGTAGAAAAGAAGAATGATCATATCATGCGCGCATGATGCATCGATGAGTCATACCACCACGTAACCATGGATATAAATAATGGCGACGCGATGGCGACAGCAAAGTTCCGCGTACAAAAGCGCAGGTGCAACAAGGAAAAATCAGAGTGCAGAACAAACAGAAATTCAAATCGAAAGGAGATAAATATTGTGGAGATGAAGCAAATCAGTTTGGTCTGTCAGAGGGTGCTTGCGCCCAGAGACAGGGTGACAGCAAACCCTGTCAGAGAGAGTCAGTGTACAGAATAGGAATACATAGAACGCAGCACGCAATGGAGTTGCTGTGGAGAGCGAGAATGCAAGCAACAACGTAAGTATTATCTATGCAAGTGATTATATCGGCGTATCCGACAAACACGCACAACAAACACTGTATTGTAACAACACACTCGTAAATGATGTTATCCCAACAACACTCATTCTATTTCAGCGCAGTGTCCTGTCCAATCACACTCAAAATCACACTCGTAAATCTCGCACACTCCCTCCTTGACAATATGACAACTGACACTCATAAATCTCGCACACTGCCCTTGCAGCATGTGACAGTTCTGTACACAAATCGTAACTACAATACACTAATAGTATCAACGTGCAACATGTGACATGTGATAGTTCTGTACAATGTACATAGTCATGTACATTATAGTTTTTTTCGTACATTTCAGCGGTTGTTTTTGTTTGCACAGTGGTTTTCAGCAATGTACGTCTCACTTCCTTGATACGTTTCAATAGCACAATTTGGTGTCGGCGTATAAGCCCATGCCCGCGTATAAGCCCATGTTCTTGTTTAAGCCCACCGAAATGTCCTTGTGAAACAGATACGCCCATGGGCTTATCGATTCTACGGTACAATACAGTACAACTGCATGCAACATGTTTGTTGTGTGTTTACCGGAGGTATGCACCCAGTGTGTTGAGAGTGCTCAATACTACAGTGGAGGCAGAGTGTATTGCACAATACCACAGCGGAGGAAGAGAGTGTTACACAGCGCAGCAGTAGAACTACAACTGTACAAGGCAGAGAGTGCAGCAATGGAACTGCAAGGCTAGTTGGTTGACACTCTGAGCTTTATGTTCATTACCGTGCAACCATCAAGCAATCTATTATAAGGATGCTGTTGCCGTTCATGCCAGTATAATGCAAGATAAAAGGTGGAGGTGTTCAGTGGTTTGGAGGTGTGGTGCTTTACCAGATCTTCAGTGCTGCTAAATTGTCCGAAAACTTGCACTCGGTCTGAAATCCGATCATACAGAATCTCTCTCTCTCTCTCTCTCTCTCTCTCTCTCTCTCTCTCTCTCTCTCTTTCTCGCCTTCAGAAATGATTGCGTCAATGGTGGACGACATATACGGCAACGACTACCCAGAGCTTCTGGAGGAAATGGAGCAGCCAGCCATCACCATTGCAGTGGAGGATCAAGACACGTTCATGGCAGAAACACAGCCAGCTGACAGCAACGCCGGTGAAGAAGAAGCTTCCAGGCACGAGTCACCAGCGCACGAAGAAGTCCCGGAAGACGGCGCGAGGATTTTCGGCGACCAGGAAGTGGCGCAGCTGAACCCTGAAGAGGAGGTGCGCATAGATGGAGATGCAGCAGAAGAGGCAGAGGCGGACGGCGCTGGGAACGAAGACAATGACAACATTGCGGAAGATGACGAAGAAGACGACGACGCTCCTGCTGACGATGCGGGCGTCTTCCAAGCATAGTCTGCGGCCTGTTCTGCGATGTTATCATCGATCTTCTAGTGACATCATGGTCATGTTGATTGCATCATGGCCATGCTGATGACATCATGCTTCTACGAGTGACATCATGGTACTTCTAGTGACATCATTGCCATGCTGATGACATCATGTTTCTTGAAAAGCATGATGACAGTGACGAATTCATCCAGCTGTGTACATGGTTCACAGGTGGCTCGAATCAGCATGGCTTGTTTTCCAACAAAAACGCAGTTATGTAACTAAATATACTCATTAGTGTGACATCATCGTGATATCATTGTGATTATCAAAATGATAATCACGATGATGTGATATTATTGTGACATCATATTGTGACATCATGTGACATCGTTTTTTCTTGATCATTACGTTATCATGCTTACAAGAGACATTAATAATAATAATAACTATATCATATTATTATGTGTGATGAGCTGTGTTTGAGTGTGTTGCATCATATAGTTTGCCATGTAGATCTACATTGCACACTGGTTCATGGAGTGATGGAGCATGCAGTGCTGTTTACAACAGTGATTTTGGACGCCATCGAATCAGGACAAGGGATCAGCTAACGCGACGCTGACTTGAAGGACTCTGCCGTGAAGTGGCCAGCTCACATAGCGAGCAAGCATGTGATCGCAATGTCGTGCCTGCTGTGTGCGGAGATGGAGGTCACACGGCCGGCCGGGCTTTCGGTGCCGGCGAGTCTTGGAAGTCGGAACTCCTAGCTCGGATACCTGTGACTGATCGAAGTGCAATGCTAGTGTGCCCGTTACACGACTGTACATGATTCAACCAAAGGCCATAATAGTTATAACAACTTCATATACAAAAAATTCATTATAGTATCCTGCCCGTGACACACATGTATGTGCGTCCTCAATGAGGATAGTTTGTACATAATAATTATGACATAAACGTATCACTGTTCTAGACTTTTTTTCTTTTCTTTTTTTACCCTTTTCAGTTCCTCAGACTGATGAACGTTCTGGAATTTGTTTTTGCATACGCCGGTCTGGCCAAATTGAAAGTCCTACCTCAGTAATAATTAATAGGTGACGAGGAGACAATAACTTTATTAATTAAGGCGATAAATAGTATAAGTGAAGCTGACATTACGAAATGATGAATGAGAATACATGTCTCAAAATTGATGAAAATCGATTTGGAACATCAATTTTGATACATGTATTCTCATTCACCATTTCGTAAAGTCCGCTTCGCTTATACTATTTATTGCCTCAGTAATAATTATTGCGAGTAGCAGGAGTTGATTGCATTATATGTGCATGCAATGTATACCTGACTGCTAGCTCAGGCATATGAACTGCCTAGGCCGTAGACTAGTAGAGGGTACGAAGTACCATTACTTCACTGATCTGAAGAAAAAAATTGGCTGTCACCACCAGGACTCGAACTTGGGACCCTCGCTTGAGGCCAGCGATACTCTAACCGCTGAGCTATGATGATGTAGTCGTCATCCCAGCACTTTTTTTACTTTTGCAAGATTGCATGTACAGTGCCGTTCAATGAAATCCGGTGGCCGCATGACTCAAGTTTGCGCCTTGCACCATTTTGCAGCCGTCTCAGTGTGTAGGGCTGCGCAACACTCTTAGCATACTTGAGTGACTCGATCGGATTTCCTTGAGCAGTATTGTACATTACCTAACCCCGTGGAGTTACTCAATCTCCAGATAGCTACCCCGATATAAGCCCATTGCGCAATGACGTAATTTGTACCATAAACGCCCAAAACACCCACTTGGGCATGGTCGTCTGGGGTAGGGTCCGGCGGATTCTGCCGGCAGAAAAATTGGCAGAATTCGGTACTTTTTCTGGTAAGTTTCATGCATGTTTGGTATGTGGATAAAAAAGTGGAGCAGAATTCGAGGAATTGCCCGCCATCAGGTTTGTATGGCTCTGCCAATTTCACTGCTTTTCGAGCAGAATCTGCCACCTTTTCAAGCAGAATCCGCCGGTCCCTAGTCTGGGGTGTTGAACAGTGCATTCCTGATCCCAGTGCACTCACATGCATTACTCATACCTTCCATATTTGGCAATACGCAATGGGCTTATTGTAGTTGTTCCCACCTTGGCAGCTAGCCCTTTCCCAAAGGTGCTCGCCCTTTTTGGCCCTTTTTGGAAAAGCCCGTTTCTTTCGCCCTTTATTGCGTTTTTTGGTGAATATCGCCCCTTTTGGAGCTTTTTTAGCTGAAAAAGTGCTAAAATCTGTTTGCTCATGCATGCGATCACAGTTTCCGAGTGCTCGATGGGCCTTGGCCGCTTTTGGGGGGGGGGGGGGGGGCAACACGTTGGTGAAGCTTGTACACAATGCTGTAAAAAGTGGGGTTTTTGAACTTTACTTCCTGTTTTGCCTTTCGTGGACCCATAAATGGAAGAGTGCGTATTCATTTCTCAGCTTGGGTTCATATCTGAACATGTATCATGGCAATGCTTCACTGAAAAAGAGCACTTTTTGCCTGTTTTCACTGACAAAAGAGCACTTTTCAGCATATTTTGAGGGACGCGGAAAAAAGCACTAAGTGCGAATTAAAAGAGCACCTTTGGGAAAGGGCTATTGGCAGCTCTCATCAGTGGAGCTCAGAGTCACAGTCCGAACCCTTGAATGGACCTCGAAGTTACCATGGTTACAGGCATATCGGTCTACAGTGGGCCACCCCGTGGGTGAGTTTTGTGGAAAATAAAATCGGATGTAGTGAAAGGGATTTTCCGTCATTGACCATTTGTGGTGGGTCTGATCTACTCACCTCCTACCGCTTTATATTAGGAGCTGCATAGTCAGACATGGACTCATGGCCATTGTTGATGTTCTACACCCTGAGGCTGTGTTTACATGAGGCGTTTCAACCCGGGTCAGATTTCAACCTGCCATGTACACAAAATGAACGGCGCGTTTACAGGACGCATTGCGCTTGACCCGGGTTGAAATCAACCATGGGCAAGAAAATGGTACTAACGTACTTCTCTGCGTATCTCGCGCCAGGTTTGAATAGCAGTGCACAGGCAAATTTCGCGCGAAAGTATTCAAGTGACCATACAGGACTCTAGAAGTGGACTTTTGGCGGCATATCAGTATTTGACCCGGGTCAACTGTATTCATGTAAACGCTCACCTATTTTGTCTATCGTACAGACCAGAGAGTAGTACAATATTGAAATACTCCCTGGTACAGACTTTCAACTCGGGCTGAACTCGACGCGGATTGAAAATTCTCATGTAAACACAGCCTGGGTGATAAACAACCCTGCTACAGTAAAACCTGTAATGGCTACCACTCGGATATGGCGACCACTCGGATATGGCGACCATTTTCCTTGTCATGGATGCATTCACACTCAAAAGTCAAAACAGCTCGGATAAGGCGACCACTCGCTCAACGTGACCCACTGAACCTGGATAAGAAGACCACCTGGCCACTGCGACCACTTTTTCGCGTCCCTTGAGTTGAGTGGTCGCCTTAGACAGGTTTCACTGTATGTATTTGCAGCAGGGAGTCGTACGGTATTTTACGACTCCCTGCTTTGCAGTAGTAGTATGATGGGACAAGTTGTACGTGTAGGAGTAGGATGCAAATTTTCTAGCTCCAACTTTGGCTGATTTTTTCTTGTTTTATACGGGTTCGCCATGCCCATGTCAACCAGGTCTAAAGAAAGCGGAGAAGATAGCTCTAGTACAACCCCGATTGCCCAAAGTGGTTCTCCAAGCACTGATATGGACGGTTCTGTTGACGTCACTCCTTTATTTGGCGAAAACGACTCTTCTGGATTCCAAATTGATGTGGCCTCGTCTAACTTGCCTGCTAACCGTAAGTGCTCATGCATGTGTCATGACCATAGATGCACAGCAGCGGCGTCAATGCCATCGTCCCCGCTGATTTTAACGGGCGACTTCAATGTCGACGTAAGCCGGCGCCAAGCCCCTCAGCTCGACAATTTACATCGCTTCTGCGACCAGTTCAATATCAGCAACAAGGTGCAGGACACTACCCGCATTGCCCCCCACGGCAGCAGAACAACACTGGATCTCGCCCTAGCTGTGGATGGAGCGATAACCTCCTGCACGGTTCTCCCTTGTACCATAAGCGACCACTTTGCGGTCGTGATTGACCTACCTTTCAAGTGCACTGTGGAACCTCCTGCTGTCAAGTGCGGTCGTAACCTAGCAAGGATCGATATGAACCGATTCGCTCATGACTTGCATCATTGTGACCTGGAGAATTTTTCAACCGCTCAGACTGTGGATGCCATGTGGTGTTCTTGGACTGACAAGATTGTTTCCGTTTTGGACGAGCACGCTCCTGTCCGAACGTATCGGCCTAAATCTTCCTCCCGCACGCCCTGTCCTTGGAAATTACCTGCCCTCCACGACGCTATTCTACTTCGCAACGCAGCACATCGTCGCTGGCGAGCCTCGCCGACTGACATGGATCTGCGAACTGTATTCACATCAGCACGAGCCGAGGCTAAGCGAATGTCCCGACGCCTCAGGGCCCAGTATTACAAGAATCTTCTCACACGGAGTCAGGCAAATGCGCGCCTCACTTGGAAGACAATAAACGAGCTCAGCGGCCGGACCAAAACTTCCACTCCACCCTCTGTCAGTATAGCAGCACTCAGCGAGCAATTCAGTGGAGTAGTCTCCGATCCAAGTAGACCTGTGCAGCTATCCTTACCTTGTGGTCCGTCACCACGGGAACCTTTGCGGGAATTCCAGGCCACTAGTGTTGAGGAGGTATTCACCTTTCTCGTGAGACTCGATGCTCGTAAAGCTGAGGGCAGCGACAGTATTCCGGCATTCATCCTGAAGCATTGTGCAGCAGCCCTCGCCCCGTCGCTATCCATATTAATTAATGCATCCCTTTCGTCTGGCATTGTGCCCGTCTCCCTGAAGATTGCAAATATTCGACCCCTATTTAAGTCTGGTGACAAGAACGCATCTCGCAATTACCGTCCCATATCTTTGCTGCCAATAGCATCGAAGATCTTGGAGAAGATAGTCCACAAACGCCTGTGTGACTTCTTACAAACCCATTCACTTTTGCCCGCCAATCAGTTTGCGTACCGGCCACAACACTCCACGGAAGATGCCTTGACCTTGGCCATGGACCGCTATCTGTCGTCAGCAGACCACCAGCTACATACTGGCGCAGTACTAGTGGACATGAGCAAGGCATTCGATAAAGTACGGCACCAGCTCATGATCCAAGATTTGTTTGCTTTGGGTGTATCTTCGACTGTTTTGCTTTGGTTTGCGAGCTACTTCACGGACCGTCGACAGAGAGTAGTTCTGGCGAGTGGAGAGTGCTCGGGCCTAACTGCATGCGAGTGTGGAGTCCCTCAGGGTAGTGTACTGGGTCCTTTGCTGTTTTCACTATATACCATGGACGTCCATAGCGTCACCAGCCCAGCACACTCCCAGCTGTTTGCGGATGACATCCTTCTCGACACCGCAAGCAGATCCGTAGCAACCCTAAATCAAGTCTTATCAGTTGCTGTGTCAAACTTGGCTGACTACCTACACGGGAAAGGCCTGGTTTTAAACCCTGACAAGACGCAGGTCTTAGCCATTGAGGCATCACGCCGTAGTACCCTGGAACTCAACGTTAACTGCAACGGGACGCCTCTCACCCAGACCACCACTGCTCGCTTTCTGGGCCTACAGATCGATTCCTGTCTTCGGTGGGACGCGCAGGTCTCCAGCATAGTACGTAAAACTTCCCAGAAGCTAACCACCCTGAGAACCATCCGCCCGTCGCTATCTGAACGCCAGTCGCTCCTCTTCTATTCTGCCCTTATACTTCCTGACATGCTTTATGGATCAAACGCGTTCTTCTCTGCCCTCACGGCTCAGCAGCGGCACCAGCTCACTGTCCTCGACAAGCGATGTGTTCGCTGCGTAGCCAATCTGCCCTTCCCGTCCCATACCACTCCTATATACACTCGCCTTTCCCTGACCCCTGTAATTGAACGTGCCAAATGCAAACTCCGTTTCCTTATGCACCGTGTCCACACCAGCAGCATCAGCCTTCTTCTGAAAGATAGAGTAGCCCTCCAACCTCCCAGTAACACCCGTGGCAATGACAATTGCAAATACGTTGTTCCGCTACCTCGGCGAACATCTGGCGACAGCCGACCATTGGTTTCCGCCGTGAAGCTTTGGAACACCCTGCCACAGGAACTCACGTCCGCTCGTCGTCCAACACCGTTTAAAAGATTGCTGAAAGTGTTTTTCTACGGTTAATATGGCCGAATAGCACCTCCCTCTGGCATAGGCCCTCATCTTCCTATTTCTCCCTGATTGTTACTTTGTTCGAACTTGACTTGTAATTACCGGTACAAATACTTCCTTTTGACTGTTTTCTCATTTTCGCAAGTGAAGCTTTATCGAGCCACACTTTTTATTCTATCGCCATCATAATATTGGGCATCAATGCCCGTTTGGTTTGCGATGTAAAATAAAACTTCAAACAAAAAAAAGTACTCTGACAGTCTGGGTGCGATCTTCACAGTAGACTGTACGCTCACACGACAGCTAGCTAACTATAAAATGTAGCGCACCAAGCACCTATCGAGATGCGTACAAACTAGGTAGTACAAACCGTCCACATCGCGATACCGGTATCGTACCTGGCGTTCTATTTTCAAAAAAAGAAAAAAAAGAGAGGAAGAGAAAACGAAGGAAAGTGGGAGAATTGTCGTCTTGAGTAGAGCAGCAGGCGTTCCCAGCACCTCTTTCAAAGACTCTCTTTGACAGTTTACTCTTTCTCGGGCTAAGCTCATACTAAGCATGTGTGAACATCTGGTTAATTTCGAGTCCCCGCAGCAAGCTGAAAAGTGAAGGGGAACGGCAGCCCCCCTTTCTTACCGTGAATGTAGACTGCTGTTTTGTAGTTGTTTTGGTTGAGTGGTGGTGTAGATCTATACTCGAGAGTACATGCCCACCGGCGTGCTTACGCAGTCTGGCCATATGGAATGCCATACGACTTGTTCGGACGACGGCGCTCACCTCATGATCTGAATGTTGGCTGCTCGTCGGGCGGCAGGAGTTGGAGCCAAGCTGACGCTCTCATCTACACTGTACGGCGGAGGAGGACAGTTTCCAACATTGTAAGTGCCAAAAGCTTTGCTCGAATGCTGATTTCCTAGTTTAAATTTCCTCCATCACTACACGATGTTGTTACTTGTAGTATGCTTGTCTTGTCTTCGGCTTCATGTAATGCTTATCATGATTACTGTTGATAATTTCGTCCAACACAACACGCACGCGCACGCATTTGTTCGAATTGAGGGTTCAGAGTGCACCGGTTCGTGCACCCAGGCAAAGAGACTTTGGAGGTCATAGTCCACCTGATCTGGTTCATGCCATGCACCAGGGCAGGGGTTGGCAGAAATACGTCGCGATTTTATCATTGCGGTTCCGAGGCTGGATCAGACTCGCCATGTCCACAGATCTACGTACCAAGATGACAGTCATAGTATTGACTAGTCTATTGTCAGTATTGTGTCCCAATGGACTGCTTCTACAGATATGACCAATCAACAATCTTGCAGAGTGTGCTGCGTGTGGCAGGGTGAAAACTCATTTGACTTGTATACCTTGATTTGACCTTTGCACTTGTAGTACAATGAACATCTACAAGTGGCAAGAACTCATAAACAAGAGAATGCAGCAGTAGTTTTTAGCTCATGTTATGGGTCAGTCCATGGCACGCTGTCTTCATCATTACGTAACTTGCCAGCATCATGCACACGCCCTGTCTCATGCACTCAAATAAAACCCACAGTCCCTCGTATCAGCACAAATGTCCATTGGTCGATTCGTTGTCGGCCATTCACACGACGTGTAAACACTTGCACGTGTGTGACCAAGATAACACTGGCAAACCGTGATCCAGTTCACACGGTGCTGGGAAAACTTTGCAACCGTCAATGTATCCATAGTGACCTCCTGAAAATGCCGGGAAATATAAAATTTGAATTTTTTACCTTGTTAAAGCACTGCATTTGCAGTACGCACTTTCAACAACCGACACTTTTCCTGGCGTGCAAAGATAATCGCGAGCAAAAGGGCCTCGGCCAAGATACAAAATCAGTTGCACGCGTGTGTCCAAGTTTATTGTATCCGAGCAAATATCCTTGGAAACGGTACGATAAAAGTAAGTTTGTCCGTCGTGTGAATGGCCTATTAGAGTACCGACGTGACATTAATGTTTTAAATTCTGGGTGCATGAATATCAATTCCATACAAAACGTTGATTGCCAGGCAGAGTTTTTAATTTCTCCAAACGGCCGAGAATTGACCAAGTTACGATACAGTCCTGTTGGGTGCGGAAGAACGGGAAAGGGAGGGGAGGGGGGGGGGGGGGGGTCAGCCTCCTAGCCGAGGCCATTTTGTTTATGCACAGTCGAGTCGCCTTGTATACATTGGTACGCTGTGCTTGGTGAAATCCTAGCCTGTTCGTTCTTCGGCGCGCGACAATGCTGTAGTTTGAAAATGTTTGAAATTCTTGATTTCATCGATCATCCTTGATTGACAAATGTAGGGTCCGTCGGTCAAAGGGTAAAATGGCAAGTTCAAGTGTGGTGTTTGATTTTGTTTACGCACTGTAGCTGCACAGTGCAATGAAGCCAGCTCGCCATATGCATGTCTGGCCCATAGAAAACGGATCCCAGTTGCATGATTCCTGTAGTCTTGTTTTATCATTAATTTTTAGTATTCGGATACTGAGACAATAATATTAATAAAATAGAAGAAATCACATGGAAACGAGTTATGAAGCAACTATCCACGACTGCAACAAGATGATAAGCTGTCAGAAAGTGCGATAACAGGGCACAGAACTGACATGCTACTGAGACATTCAACGACCTGAGACCTAGCTCTCACACACTTCCAGTGCTCAAACCAACAGCCTTCCAGCTTGGAAGGTTCGAGGACCAATGAGGGGAAGGTGAGCGCAGCAAAAATGTGCACAAGCTAAATCCCACGGCAACAAAGAATGCCGACTGTTACAGGACCATCACGGGACCAGTTAATAATAATTATGACAATGCGGTCTAACTACAATTCGAACTACAATTCAGGTTGTTGAATGTCTCAGTAACATGTCAGTTTTGTGCCCTATTATTGCACTTTCTGACAGCTTATCATCTTGTTACAGCCGTGGAAAGTTGCTTCATAACTCGTTTCCATGTGAATTCTTCTATTTAATTTTAATTTAACTAGGGAATTCCCAACAGGCGTCATCGCAGTCTTGTTGGTGGACTGTTGATAGTCGCAGTAGCAGATTTTATCACCAGTATTTCACTGGGGGAATTCCAGCAGTTTGTGTTCTGTACACAATTAGGCAGGACTATGACATGAAACTTGTCCAGTTTGAACAAGCCCTCCCCAAGACTTCTGAGCATATCGCACGCTGGCCAGGTCTTATCACCTTACTCCCCTCTCTCTATCTCTCTCTATCTCTACCTCTCTTTTCTCTCTCTCTCTCTCTCTCTCTCTCTCTCTCTCTCTCTCACTCACTCTCTCTCTCTCTCTATTTATGCAGTCCTTCCAAGCATGCATACTCCGGTCTGGCTATTGGCTGGTTTGCTCCAGTTGCTATGGCGGGTGGAAGCAGTGGAACAAGCAGCTACCCCCGTTCATACCCGCAAGCAGCAGACAAGTGTAGCAAGTGGCTTGCCAGGTAAGCCATCAGCACAATCAAATGGTTGTCACCTCGCACTGCTCTCTGCTGGTGATGCGTCTGTTGATGCATGCACACACGCGCGCACACATACTTTTGCAGTATTACTATACATACACGCACACACGTACACTCATACATACATACATACATACACACACACACACGCGCGCGTGCGTGCGTGCACGTGAAAATAAGAGAGGAACTTTTATACGCTCCGCCATCACCAATCTCATTGATGAAGTAAAAAAGTTTTGCTGAAGAAATCTTGAGTCTTCTTGCATCCCCATTTGTAAAAAAAAGAAAGATCTTTGTGGACAAACCCGCTTCCGAAGCATGCAAGTCTGAGTGTGTTCCTTTATTTTACGTGTTGGCACGTGGCCATCGTCAGGCAAGGGAATTGTTGTCACAAAATAACATGCACTGAAACCTATTCAAGGGACCTTCAAAACCTGGTCTCTGTTACCATGGTTACCAGGTGGTCTCCGTATCCAGGGTTATTTGGCTGGAAATAGCATTCCTTGGTGCTGGTTTCAGTGTTCTTCTAGGGCAGGTGGTCGCCTTATCCGATTGGTCGCCTTGACAGGGTCTACTGCACTTCAACAGAACAATCGAGCCCATCAAGCCAAAAGTCAGATCAGATTTGACTTGTGGTTTTGCGAAGTAGACCAGAGACGTGTCTAGTCAAGCAGGATGCAATTTAACTCACCCTGAAAGCAGAGGAGCCCGCTTTCAATAGACCTGACCGCTATCCAACATAACTGTACCCGCCAGCTGAACGTAAAATCGCGGCCGGAGCCGGTCCCCTTTTAGGGGAGTGCACGGCCGCATATGTGTAGGATGGCCGGTGCATGTCGTCCGGGGTCATTACATGCATGCTGAACCTAGGTCGAACTTTTTAGGGGGGGGGGGGGGGGTGCACGTGCCCCATGCGGACTATGCGCCTGTAAAAGGATTTCGAAACTATTTAAACAATTCCAAATCAAGCGTATAGGGCCACCACTCGTTCGTTTGCACTTACGGGGATACAGTCAGACCTCGCATAACCACACTCATCCGTTTTCCAGAAAAAATCCGGATGTGCGAGGGAACCGGATAATCGAACACACATGCTGTAGGTATTCATGGCACATGCTGTAAATCGGTAACCAACGATTTTCTTCCGGATGGCGAGGGATCCGGATAAACGAGGACCGGACAAGCGAAGTCTGACTGTATGCAGTGGTCGTGCTATTGTGGATTGCCCGTGTTGTCACCATGTGCCTTGTGTTCTCTGTGATCACACAGTTGTCTTTCTGGTCAAGACCTTCGCAGTTCTTCTCACCGATGTGAACGCTTCTGTGACGATGGAGTGCGCTTATCGTTACCAACCCGACGCCAGCGTCGAGTGGAAAGTTCCAGTGGATATCAAGTCTCCCTACTGGACACAAGAACGTATATGGATGATGGTAAGGTTTGCCCATGTTAAGGTGGCTGGGGCGGTACACCTTTTGCGGGAAAATTTTGACTACATTTTTGAGTTTACCGGCAAGGTGGAGATGAAATTTGAAAATGTTTTCGATGAATCTCTGGAGAAGAGCCTTCTCTAGCCTCCTATAGTTTTTTTAAGAACTTTTGGACAAAACTTGAAAACGTTTTATGAAATGTCCGTGGAAATATAACACGGACCTTTTATAAAACTTTTTCAAATTATGTCCAAAAGTAAAAATAAAACTATAGGAGGCTAGAGAAGGTTCTTCTCCAGAGATTCACCGAAAAACTTTTTCAAGCTTCATCTCCACCTTGCCGGTAAAAAAAGTTGTCAAAATGTAGTCAAAATTTAAAGGCGAACAGAACTGCAATCAGTGAGCACCATCAGGCCCCGATTTCCGCTTCATTTGGCGTGAGAGAAACTATAATTATTACAATGCCAAACACCGTTTCCGTTCTCCTTGTCAGTTTTGTGCTAGATTCTACACGTCTGGCTGTTCAAAATCTGGTCTAGTCGGCGGACTCTAACGCATAACTTGCGCCCCAACGGTTTCCAGGTTTTCAATTTAATATGATTTCCTTGTCTGACCATCTGAGTTGCAACACCGTTCGCTGCTGTCTCTTTATCTTCTCGTGTCGATCTGCGCGCAGGATATCTCCGGAGCAATGACGCGTGCCGTTCAAGCCCAGCTGACGATAGAGCGTGTCCAGAGGGAAGACGCCGGTAATTACAGGTGCGTTGTGACCGCCGGGTCCAAGTCTGCAGAGCGCGTCTCCGTGGCAACTGCGATAGTGCAGCTGCAGGTAAGGCCTGAACAGCCCGAAGATATAGGCAGCACTGTGCAGTCGAGGAGGCATGCCTCTCCACCGCCATCACCCCCTGCCGTTTCTATGGGCAGCATCATGAAATGGAGCAAGCCTGTCTCTATTCCTTCACTCCCCTCTGCCGTTTCCCCGTGGACTGCGTCTCCCCCGCCATCGCCCGTTGTTGTCACCAACAGCAGCAGGCGGCCGGGGTCGGAGGAGAAGTCAAAGAGTTCGCTCTCGCCCGCCTACGCCGGCTTGGTGGCGGTGATGTGCGTGCCGCTGGTCCTGTTGGCTGGGGGTCTGCTGGTGCGCTGTTGCCGATCCCGGGCACGCTCAGCTGCCCGCGACATCATTCCCATCACCATCGGGTGTAAGTGTATCAGACTGTTTTAAAACACTGACTATCGTAATGTCGCGTATAAAAGCAGGTGCTTGCGGCCGTATAAGCCGGGGTTCAAACCATGCTTTTATTCAAGTTACGCTTCTATTCAAAACATGCTTCTACGTCAGCATCATCAGTCTACACTGTGCACGTGCATACATGTACTGCCGGCATGCCATGCATATACTTACACAATATCAAGAGTACATGAAAGCCAGAGTGTGCAGCTCGGATGGGTTGCTGTCACGGCGAAATTCCGTGATTACATCATTTTAGTGATGTAGTGCGTACAAGCAGGATTCAAGCAGGTCTCTTTCTGCACAACTGCAGCTCAGTTGTACGCACTACGCCATTTCCCGCCTCAGATCTGCACCAAATATGATGTAATCACGGAATTCCGCCGTGACAGACACCCATAGCAGAGTAGACCCCAAGCTGCACACTCTGGTTTTCATGTACTCTTGACAATATACTTTGCAGAGAGCGGCTTCTACTGTGGAAATACAAGTTTTCGTTCACGAAATCTTTCGTTATTTCACTCCACCAGCCGGCTTGTTACATACAGTCAGACCTCGCTTATCCGGTCCTCGTTTATCCGGATCCCTCGTTTATCCGGATCCCTCGTTTATCCGGATCCCTCGCCATCCGGAAGAAAATAGCTGGTTACAAATGTACAGCATATGCCATGCATACATACAGTATGTGTGTTCGATTACAGTGAAACCTGTCTAAGGCGACCCCTCAAGGGACGAGAAAAAGTGGTCGCCGTGGCCAGGTGGTCTTCTTATCCAGGTTCAGTGGGTCACGAGACCATATCCACATGTGATACATCATTTTGATCAGTGCATCACAGTGCACACGCCTATGCTACTCTAGCACGACTCATGTGCCTGGGGTCCGCAGACCTGTCAAATTTCGTGCATGCACCATGTGCATCTACACTTCCTGCACTGATGTGTAGATCTACCGTGCCTGGTGCACCATGCAATGCGTACATTTACATGACTAGCACTGTGCAGCGCGGTCGCGGGTGGGTGGTCGTCGGTCGCGTTGAGCGAGTGGTCGCCTTATCCGAGGTGTTTTGAATGTGAATGCGTCCGTGACAAGGAAAAGTGGTCGCCATGGTTGAGTGGTCGCCATGGTTGAGTGGTCGCCATGGTTGAGTGGTCGCCATGGTTGAGTGGTCGCCATGGTTGAGTGGTCGCCATGGTTGAGTGGTCGCCATGGTTGAGTGGTCGCCATGGTTGAGTGGTCGCCATGGTTGAGTGGTCGCCATATCCGAGTGGCCGCCATTACAGGTGTTTACTGTATCCGGCTCCCTCGCCCACCCGGATATTTTTGTGGAAAACAGATGTGTGCGGTTATGCGAGGTCTGACTGTACTAAATTTCGTTTTTGGTCGATGTATGTCACCCGAACGTTCAGAAGAAAAACTTTAGTTTGGTACAAACTTTAGTTATTTCGCGCCCCTAACGAATATAGCGAAAGTTAATTCCAAACGAAAATTTGTACTCATACAGTATTCAAATCGTGCTTCTGTGTCATGGTGCACTTTGAAAATTCGGCCTCTATTCGAGTCATGCTTCTATACAGGTCATGCTTTTATACGCGACACTACAGGTATTCGGTATAATTATCTCCCTCTATTTATAATCCCCCCTTACTCAATGCTACCAATCAGTGACAGTTATCCGCTAAGGATTGTCACAAAGCAACCCTCTGACATCTACCTTGACTATGTGTTACTCTGTCGGTATGTGCATGTGTGTGTGTGTGTGTGTGTGTGTGTGTGTGTGTGTGTGTGTGTGTGCGCGCGTGTGTATGTGTACATGTGTGTGTGTGTAAGTGTGCATGTGCATGTGTGTGTGCGTGTATATTTCGCGCCCGCAGTGTCCAACCACAGCTGCATCATCCGAACGGACAGCCAAAACTCCTACGTCAGCGGCCAACAGGCGTCCCTGTTCGGCGGCAGCACCGCGCCGCCCTGCAGCGTGACCTCCGACAGACCCAGCAGCTTGGTATTGCCTGGGATTGGCGCACACAGAACACCCAGCGCCAGGAGCGGCAGCGACCAAACGTATTGCACCATCGAGGAGCCCAGCTCATGCTTGGACAATGCCCCCGGGAATACCTATCAAGATAGCCCCAATCCGCCGTCGTCATCGTCGCATACCAGATCTTCACCCTGGCATGGTGCCGTTAGCGGCAGGCATCATCTCAAGGACTCCATACGTAGACGCATAGCCAGCATTGGCAGAGCCCTGGAGCTGCGACGGCACGCAACGGAGACCCCGCCGATGCTTACTAGTAACAGCGATGGCGGTGGCGGCAGCGGCGGTGGTGGTGGCAACAGCAGGGCGGGGCGCCTGTCCATTCTGGAGCGCTCGCAGCTCAACTGGTTCCACACGGACGTGATGGCAGCGACGACGAACGGCACCGCCAGCTCGGCATGGGGCCAGCTTGACCCGTTCCCCTCAACCACCGTCACCACCACCACGACATCCACGGAAGCTGCTGCTGCTACCGTCAGCAAACACCACCCACTGCCGTTGGATGTGTCAGAAGATGTGGAGGCTTTGCGATCACCTTCTCCACAGCCGACGCTCCTTGTCTATGAAATACCCATCGACGTTTTGCAGACCCCAAAAAGTAGTGGTGAGTGGGACGAAGTGGATCAAGTCGCGGCACTGGTTTACGGCAACGCTGAGGAGTTGCCGATAGGAGAGCCTCGCCTAGTTTAGCCTCGCTATGTGTGTGGTGAGGTTTCGGGAGACGCCACAAGCAGTGCAGACATGGTGCTGATGAACAACATGTGCGTGTGTGTGCAAGCTATGCCCATGCCCCGGGATAGTGTATGCACACCACCTGTGTGATCGCTCTACCATTAAGCATGTGTGCGTGTGTGTGAAGGTGTGTACAGGTGCAGTTGTGTGTGTGTGTGTGTGTATGTGTGTGTGCGTGTGTGTGCGTGTGTGTGTGTGTGTGTGCGTGTGTGTGTGTGAAGGTGTGTGTGCGTGCGTGTGTGTGAAGGTGTGCTTGTGTGTGTGAAGGTGTGTGTGCGTGTGTGTGTGTGTGTGTGTGTGTGTGTGTGTGAAGATGTGCGTGTGTGAAGGTGTGTGTGTGTTTGTGTGTTCTAGCTTGTACACGACAATGCTTGCCAAAGGAGCTCCGTGCATGAATCGACCACCGCACAGACACGCGCATCCTTCGGTAACCTCCCGCTCGACTCAAAGCAAGATGGCTCCCACACGAGCATCACCAACACCATTGCCACCGTCATGTTGTTGGTTAGACCATCATGGCTGGTGCTCGCAGTAGGGTGGCATTGCCCAAGGTGTACTGGCATTGCATGTACTGGGCCATGGTCAGTCTACCCATACTGCTCGCGCCTCGCAGGACATGTACTGCCATTTGCATGTACTGGGACATGGTCAGTTCATCCGCGCTGCTGTCACCACACAAGCACTGTCATTGCCTGTAGTGGCCCTGGGACCTGGTCAGTTCCCCCACACAGCTGTCACCTGGCACTTCTCTCGGCGTTGCTTGGTTAGTTAAGCACTAGTACTCCGGCCGGATCATGGCCATTGTGCATGGAGTGCACACGGGAATCTCAGCCAGCAGCTGAACTACCACTTGTAGTAGTAGCAGCGGTGGCGGCAGAAAGAACTCCGCTCAACACGCCGCGGTGGTGGCAGTGTTTACCTGTGAATGTTCGCATCCCCAATTGCCCAGGGTGTTTTAGCACGGTTTTGTCTCTGTGACCTTTGGTCTGGTGTCATCACCGGCTTCTGTCCACTCGTACTAGTACATGCCATGCTCAGTACGCTGCATAGTTGTACTATGGTACTGCATTACCAACGCTTCATGAAGTTTATGGCAAGCTGGTGTTTCAATATGGCATTTCTTTTCTTTTTCTTTCTTTTTAGAGATGTGTGTTCTTTGTCGATTTTGAGTGTCCATTCGTTCTTACCTTTGATGTGACCACGACCGCTGGCTAATACGCTGAAATGTTTTTTCTTCTAAATTCGCGCAAGAGATATTATTAGCGATGAGAATTCTTGCAGCTTCCAACACGGCACAGGGACAAGGATCAGAGTGGCAGACCCGCTCTCTTTCCCGATTGGGCTGCGTTCATCAAACCCACGCGCGTAGAGCAGTTTATTTTTAGATTTTTTAGATTTTAGAGCATGTAGTTTGCCCGTATATCTGGGAGTAGGATGTTTTAAACGTTTTTTTAGCCGCGATAATGCCCATGACCATAAGTCATGCATCAAAGTACGCTACAGCCAGTCAATACTGTACTAGTTATAGTTTTCTCTGTTTTCATGTGCGAGTTTATTTTGAGTTTACCAACAAGTATAGCTGCAGCAGAGTAATGTCCATATAATGATATGTTTCTCTTCCGAAAAAGAAATCGACAGGTGGTTTTGGGAGGAAGTCAGTCGGTCACTTCCACGGGCACTCCCTTGCATCAAGAGTACATGAAAACCAGTGTGTGCAGCTTTCGGTACTTTCGGTGCGTCTGTTTGTTCGGTGTATTGACATTTTAGGTGTGAAACAGACGCACCGAAAGTACCGAAAATAAAAGTACACCGAAAATTTGTGAAATTACAGTAATCATGGAATTGCGCCGTGACAGCAACCCATCCGAGCTGCACACTCTGGTTTTCATGTTCTCTTGCTTGCACACGTATACCTGGTGCGTTTCACGCGCGGCGGTAGTTATGTTTGGCGCTGACAGCGAGTCGGAGTGTACTTGCCCTACTGTACACCTCCGCAGAAAGCCGCGATGCACACACACACACTGTATGACATGTTCGGTGTAGCTTTAATTTCGGCAATTTTACCTGTCCTGCGGGAATTTGCGGAAAAACTCTCGAAAACTTGCGCAAGAAATTGCGGCAGAAAGTAACAAAAAATGCGACGAAAAGTGCGGAATGATGCAGAACTTGCCAGGAATTCGCGGAATTATTTGCAGAATATTGCGGATTTGGGCCAAATCACGAAAATTTGTTGCATCGTATATCTACTCGGGAGTCGTACTGTGCAAATAACCTACAGGATCGTGAAAATGCATAAAAATGTGAGATATAGTGCAGAAAACAACAAAAAAAAACGTGGGAAATCGCGGATTTTGCTGAAAATCGCGGGTTTGGGCCAAAATCGCGAAATTTGTTGCATCCGTGGAATCGCGATTTCCTGGAGGGACAGTTTTACGTAGAGAAACTAGGCAACTAAATTTAGATGACACCTACCGTAAAAGCAGAAATTTTCGGTGGTGTAATATTTTCGGTATTTTCCAAAATCGGCGGTGCAGTGGAGGGACAATTTTCTATAAACCCGTTTTCCATGTACCGGTAAGTGTACTAGACTGTACCGAAACTTTCGGCGTGTTTTATTTTCGGTAAAAATTTCGGCACCAAGTTACCGAAAAGCTGATCTCCTAATTCTACATTACACCTGAAACCTGGCTGGTCCCTGACCCCGAAATTACACCTAAAATCCCAAATTGTCCTGTTAGTATTGTTCGCAAGTAACTTAGTTAGTCAGCCATGACTTGGTCTTGCAATACAAACTTGCACCACACAGTACTGCAGGGGGGGGGGGGGGGGGGGGGGGTAGCCAGGATAGTGATCAAGGGGGTGCCACGACTTTCCCCACACAAAATATACATGCACTTTAAATGTTTGATCCGCGATACAGTGTGTGTGTGTGGGGGGGGGGGGGGGGCAGAATCAGCCCCACATTTGATGCTGAAAATCAATCAGTGAATGGCATACCTCCAACCAGGTACTGTAGTAGTAAATATTATCAAGAGTCAAGAGTTCATAATCCCCATATGGACTCTTGGTAATAGCAAGAGTTCATAATCCCCATATGGACTCTTGGTAATAGTTACTACTCCCTGCTTCCAACTAATGATGAGCTTAGCCTAACAAGTGGAGTGCGATACAAATCATGTGCTGAGTCTGCTGAGGTCTGACGTCAAGCTGCAGAACGGCAGGTATGAAGCGGAGTTGCCTTTGGCTAGAAGTTTCATTGCAAAATGGCGAATCATCAGTAGGCATATGCGGATGATGCCGCTAGAAAAATTGGTAGAATTCGGTACTTTTGCTGGTAAGTTTCATGCATGTTTGGTATGTGGATAAAGAAATGGAGCAGAATTCGAGGAATTGCCCGCCATAAGGTTTGTATGGTTCTGCCAATTTCACTGCTTTTCAAGCAAAATCTGCCACTTTTTCGAGCATTATCCGCACACCCCTAATCAGGGGCGTGCTCGGCCCCCCAACTAGGGGGTGCACGGGAGCCGAGGGGAGCCCCCCGGCAATTTTCTGCAATTTGTTTGCAACCTTTCTTGAATTTTAGAGCATATTTGCATACATTACAATTGCAATTACCCAGATTGAAAATGTTTGGGGGGTGCACGTGCCCCCCGTGCCCATCGCCGAGCACGCGCCTGCTAATCATCAGACAAAATAGTCAACTGAAGCAGTACAGTACAAGGTTGGTCTGAACAAGGTTTGCGACAGTGCGCGGTGTGCAGAGTTGCACATGTGATCACTGATCAGCGGTCCGCGTATTACGGTCTCTCTCGAACCAGATGCGAACCACGATCGAAATTTTTGAGGGGGGGGGGGGGCTTTGGCACCCAAAGCAACCCCCCGCCCCTGTACTGTCACTATCTATGAGCCTTACCGGGTTACCGGGCGTTTTCTTCAACCGTGAGTCGTGACTTTGGTCACCCGCCCGGTGAGCTGAGAGTTTGTGCATTGGGTGATCACGTGAGGCCACGCTGTACATTGCAGTACCCAGAGCTCTTCTGTGATTCCCACCGCGCTATTCACACACCAACACAGGGATTATTTGCCACCTACACGTACTCGTAGATCTGATCCGCCTTTAGAGAGAGTAAGTGCCAACGAAACAGGAGATGGCAGGCAAATGCAGAAAGCCTTCAGTCCTTCACCATGTTCACCCAGACCAGACAGTCAGTCAAGGACGGGCAGGAAACTCCGAACTCCACTGCGAGTTACTTCCTGGCTGAGCGTAGCCTCAGGCTATCAGTCAGGTTCCGAAGAGTGAGTGGTACTAGTAGATCTACAGCTTCACACTCCTCCTACAATGATCCTCAATGATCACATGCATACATACAGACTGGATGGACCATCGACCACTTGCAGTTGCACTGCGGGTATGTCCGTCCAAGCTAGTAGTGGCAGCTGCTGCTAGCCGGCTGGCGGCTCGGAAACTGGCTGAGGTTTGCTAGCCAGCTACAAAGTGCAAGCGCCAACCATGATCAACCATGGTCAACGGTCGAGCCCGACGCCAGCCTAGCCCCATGCTATTTGCCGAAACTGGAAAGCGATGATTTTGAATCATTCCTTCCCTGCGCGCACTTGGCTTGCTCCCGGCCGGTGCGAAGTGTTCCAGGCGAGACGAATCCGACGCTTGCTAGCAGAGCCTTGACGGGAGTGTCAACGCAGCCTTCAGTAGAGGCGGAGAGGCCGACGAGGAAACAAGTGAGTTTGAGAAATACTTTCGATGCCAGGGCGTGTTCGATTTGTCGAAATCTCGATCAAGATTTGTCGGTTTTCTGCGTGTTGTCCAGATTGTTGTGGGTAAACTACCATAAGAGATCCTCCGATAGGCTAGGCCATGCATGGCCTTTGAGAAATCAATCATGGGGATAATCTTTGTTTCAGGGCCTGAAACAAAGATTATTCCAAAAAAACTACTTCGAAGTATGACTGTACAGTGTCGAGCAGGGCTAGGGAGCGGTGCTGTCTTGTACGTCTGCCACGTGGACTATTAACACACCTCTGCTGATGTCAGGAACAAGCACCTCTTTCTACCAGTGGAAAGATAAGGGGTACACTCTGGGCAAAGTTAACTCATGAGTCATGATACCCCCCCCCCCCCCTGCCATGGATCGAAATCCGATCGCGGAAGTCAAGTTTGCATCCTACACCCGCGCACTGTCCA